GCACCGACCACTTTTTATAGCGTGGTGTACTGAACATTACGCAGGTACGCCGACGACTTGCGATTTGCTAGCAGCGGCACGACGACGTAGCTGGGGCTCTCCAAAGCTATTTGCCTCCAGGTTTCCATACAGACATCGATGTTGCTGTTCACTTTCCAAGTGGATACAAGGATTAATCACTTGCCGAGTTCCATCTCTGCGGAGGCTGTATGGAGGTATAAACAGTCAACTATACCGGGTTTCATGCCGCAGGCATTGCGCAAGGACTCCCAGGCATTCTTTTTTTGTTTGGAATCCCTGTTAAATAACCGATGTCATAAAGACACTCGCGCTCTCTCACCGCTTCAATGAGCCGCTCAACCAGGTCCGTCGTCAGATCGCTCGGTTCGCGCTCCGCGGCACCTCGGTTTGCCATTTTTCTTTCCGATTGACGCTCGCGCGAGGAATTCTGGATAGCGACCGTCGTCGGCTGACGCCGAGATTCGAGCAGGGCCTACCTCGACGTGAGCTATGCCGGCGCGCGCCGAGGCGCGTTACGTTGCGTGACGTTCCACCTGTCGTCAGAGTATAAACTCTCCTTTTGCAGCAATGTCACTCAACGTGGTCGGGCGCGCGCGCCCGTCGACGTTCGTTGTAGTATAAACAGCCCTTTACTCTGACTCTGCCTCAACGGGCGACTTGTCACCCAGCTCTAAGGAGTATTCAGCGGGCGTCATATTTGTGGGTGCTGTCTAGAGCGCATGCTCAGAACGAGCCCACATTAATAGGCTGCTAAGACCGGCAATCTTGAGGGTGCGGAATGCACGTTACAAAAGTACTGTGGAAGCTCGTCATCAGCTCGCGCTCAGCGGTCGCGCACACGGCAATGGCCGCTAGTGAATACTTCCTATAAATAAGAAATTTGGCCAGTGTAGAACAACCGCTTGCCTGGTGTCTTGAACGTGCACCACGCAGTAGTGATACACGACCGCACGCCGGTACGACGCTCATCCAGATCGAAACGGGCAGGAGTGGCGATTGAACCCAGCATCGCTGGGTTATGCAGCGCGAGCTTTCGCTCCACGTGCTCCGAGCTGGTATGCGCCACTGGACACTGATTGGAAACGACTGCTGCGTCAGCGCTCGGCTTCGGATCAAGTTTGAGGCGAACGTTGACGCAATCGTCGTGTCCAATCTCTGCCCCCCCGTTGGCCTTCGCTGATGAGGCCATCTCATTCACCACTACGCCTTTGTTATCTACGAGCTCTGGGGTCCTCCCAGCTCTTTCCTATTTAGCACAGCGGACGCTCTGCTAGAGTGGAAGGGGGAGATTTTTCCAGTTGACTCACGAGAGTCATTCTCGTTCTTAGAGGCCGAGAGTGGCAAAGCGGCCGTTTTCGCACTTTCGTGTTCGTACTTTCACGGCTTTAAGAAAACCGGAAATGCGCAACCTCACTGCTTTTTGGTAGACTGCTTCTTGGTGCGGTAGCTGACTATCATGCACGAAATCGCACTTGCACAAAGTGCGGTGTCGCCTGAACCGGAGAAAGATTCGCTGCTTAGCGCACCGTGCGGCCCCGGTGTCTGCCTTGCGGAGTCCACGTGTTTTTTATTAATAAAAATGCCACATTCGTCCTCAACGTTAGCTCTTGTTTTCATAATATTGTCGTAAAAGGAAACGGATCGACAAGCGTAAACCTGAAACTAAAGGTTAAATCAAGGATGTTGTGCCAAAAATAAAAGTACGAGCGTCGAGACTAGGGATGTCGCGAACCACCCTAGGTTCGATTTCGAAAGGTTTCGATATTTGCGAAGCGAACTGAGGTTCGATTTCGAAAAATTTCGATATTTTCGTACCGACCGAGGTTCGATTTCGAAAAATTCGCAACTTTTGTCCAGAGCGGAGTTTCGAATTCGAAAATTTCGAAGCTTTCACGGTTTCTAAAATTTCGAATTCGAATATTTCGAATATTTTTTACTTCAGGTTCGATAAAATCGAAGATTTCGAAATTCTTTGTAAAAAAAATTCGAAAACTTCGAACGCTTCGAATTTTTGTAGACATGAAGTTCGAACAATTCGAAAATTTCGAATTTCTTTTTGCATAAAGTTCAAAAAGTTCGAAGGTTTCGATTCCCTTTTAACGCTAAATTAAAAAAAAAAATTCGAAGATTTTGAATTTTTTTTAATCCAAGTTTTCAAAGTTCGAAGTCCGATTTTCAAGTTTTTCCACAGTTTCAGTTTCAAATAACGTTTTCACGACTCACTGGTTTTCACAAAACCAAGTTTAGAAAAGTTAGGGTGTGATATCTAGATTCTGCGAAGTTGGTCCAGCAATTAAATGAGACGACGAGTGTCCCGGACGTGCTAGAATATTTGCCAGTGCAGAATTGTGACCGCCAGCCCCCCGGGGGGGGGGGGGGGGGGGGGAGGGGGGGGATCTTTAACCTGCATCACGCAGTAGTGATTGCACGAACACACTGTCTTACGAGACTCTTCCAGTTCGAAACGGCCAGGGGTGAGCAGGAGGTTGAGGCTCACAAAAACCTTGAAGCGACCTGGCAAACTAGCTCGCCACCCCTTGCACGCTGGTAGTAATCCGATCCGGTGAAGTTTATAATTGCCCTGGAGGTTTATTTTCTGGGTCGGAGGAATCGCCTCGCAAAACTCACAAAAGCCGACACAACTCGAGGTCGAGGAGCGTTCTACCATACAAGTGGCGTCGGAAGAGGAAAAACGGGGGGAAAGAGGGTAGCCGGGGGGTGGGGGCTTCAGCCTCTTTTTCCCCCTTGCAGGTATTTCGGACTGTTAAAGAAAACAATACGGGGAAAGAGGGCGTGGTCGAGCTTATTTTAATCTGAAATTATTTATGCATATGTATAGCTAATGTCGCTCTTCACTGCACACAAGGTTGCGTAGATGGTCATTGTTAGAAACTCGTTGTCAGAAGGCACTGCTCGTCACATGCTTAATGGTTCGGAAGTTCAAAGCTGTCTTTTCGACCTAAACACCTGTGCCGATAGTAACAAAAAAAAAAAAAAAAAAAAAGAATAAATGCGGGAATAAAAAGCAGGAGAAAAAAAAAATCTATCAAGAATTCGTCGGACTCGGAAGTGTTCTATTCTTGCATATTCAGAGGTTCAGAACTTCGAAACAAGTTTCTTTTACCAAAATGTGTACAGGCTAAAAGAAACACGTCCCAGGAACGTGAAGCGAAAAAAAAAAAAGTTTTCTTTTGGTGACGTGCTGAACTTGAACACTACTAGAAATCTTCTCTCATGAGTTAATTTATTCCTTAACGTGAAAAAACAATAAATATATTATTTTGTATTCTGCAGATGGCAATGATATGTACTGTCTGTGGTGTTAATTAAAATGCGATACCTCAAACAACTTAGACGAAAATAAATATCAAGTTTAGGTCATAATTGCATGCAGATACATGTTTGGACATTTCTACGAAACTCACGTTGAATAACAATAATCACATCTTAAGACGGCACTTACCTAAACTATACATAGATCATTCTTAAAAAAGTATAACATATCTACCATAAATAGCTCCGGCTGCAGCGTGCTTCAAATCTGGCACAAACGATAATCGTCAAAAACCCGTCGTCTTTCCTCGCCCCTTCGGGGATTTATTTCTTTAAACCTAAGCATGCCAGAACATTGAAATAAACGACATTGTCTTTCGTAAGGAACGCAGCACCGCGTGTAAAAGTTCGAGAAAAAAAAATTACGAATGTACCCCACTACTTGAAATCAAATGAAACCGTCCGCCGGTCTTTCGAAGTTCGACGAACGTCGAACTTTTACCCTAAAAGTTCGAAGTTCGTCGAACTTATGACTTTTCAGAATTCGAAAGTTCGAAACTTTTCGAATTCTCCTGATAAATAGGTTCGAAAGTTCGAAATTCATCGAATTTTTTGGTCAGTCAATTTCGAAAGTTCGACAAGCATCGAATCTTGCAGCGCAATAAGTTCGAAAGTTCGAAAAAGATCGAATTTTTTAGCGTAATAAGTTCGACGGTTCGAAAAGCGTCGAACTTCTTAACTTAACAAGTTCGAAAATTCGACCTCCGTCGAATTTTACGATATAGATAATTCGAAAAATCGAAATCTTTCGAACCTTTCGAACCGCTTGATTCGATCATCGAAACTTCGATTCGAAAAAAGTTCGCGGCATCCCTAGTCGAGACAGCAGCAGCGAGCGTCGAGAGGTCGGCGTGACAGCTGGATAGCGCGCAAGCGCGATAGTCTGTCGTCGTCAGGGGAGTGAGTCGGGAAGGTCACCCTGGGCTCCTTTTCTATCACACTTGGTATCTCGGACATTCGAGCATCGAACATTCGGGGTGAGAGTAAACGCGAATCTTCTAAAATTATGAAGTAGCGTTCCTCCTCGGTCAGGAACACGGCAATATTAAGCTTATACTGGACGTCGGCTCAAAAAAATTTGGTATTTCTCGTTTTTCTTTTAATCCAGGTAACGTCATGTTCTCAGACTTTCGCGTTTTCTCCCAACTAGTCTATAGCGTCACATTTTCACGCAGCGTTGGCGTCCTGGGTTGAATGGTTTATTGAAGCGGGCCGCTATAGTCAGTTATAGGTTAAGAAAAGCTTTCGAGGGAAAGGAAGGATGGGGAAAAGGAAGCAGACTAAACGCTGAAAAAAGGAGGAGGTTTTCTACTCTTTTCTTCAGCACTCCGTCTGCTTCTTCTTCCCCAGCCTTCCTTTCCACCGAAAACTTTTCTTAACCTGTAACTGACTATAGCAGCCACCTCAGTTTTTGTTCTCCCCTACCAATTATTGCTTAAAAATTGGACGGTACGACAAACTGCATTTTGCAATTATTCACGGGCCAGAGATGTATTATATATTTTCCTCAGCGCCTTTTTTTCTGAGAACAAACAGTGGCATTCCGAGGTCCGGGCTTTCTTTTTTAGCGGACACTTGGACCCTTCGAGCACCAATCCACGATGACCAGTGAAGCGAGAACCGCCGACCGGCAACACAGCACTTACTGATGCAGTTCTCCTGGCTGTTGTAGTAGGCGTTTACCACAGCAACCTGGGCGAGGTTCTCCCACTTGCCCTTGATGTGCGGCTTTCGCAGATGCCCATATTCGTAGTCCGTGTACCACTTTCGCAGCCGCATGACGTTCTCGAAGTACGTGTCGGGTTGCAGCTTCACGTTGCGGTAGTACTCCCCCACGAGAGCGTCCTTCAGCAGCTCCTCCGGGTAGCCGATGTACGGCTGGATGGCCAGGGCCTTGGCCCGTGCGCGCTGCCGCGTCTGCTCGTCCATCCAGTCGATGTCGTCCAGGATGGTCATAAACTCTTTCAGGATGAAGTTGACCATGTCCAGCGCGGCGCCCTTGCTGTCCTCCTGGAAGAAGTGCCGCACGTAGAGCGAGGAGAGCGCCATGCCCAAGTAGCCCGTGAGCGAGCCTATGCACTGCTCCCAGCGGGCCATCTCGCGGGTTTGGCCCGTCAGCACTCCGATGAACTCCTGGAGTCGCTCGCGCCACGGCTTGCCCAGCATGCCGTACGACTGGAGCACCGCGCGCCACACCATGTAGTTAGCAACGGTGCGCGCCGGCGTGCGCAGGATAAGAGACTCGAACTGCTTCACGAACTCGGGCACGACCACGCTGATGGGCTCGTCCGGGGTCACCTTGTCGACAAGCAGCGAGTTGAAGTAGCGGTCCCAGTCAATCTGCGTGTATACAGCGAGGGCAGTTTGGAAACCAAACGGGAACCCTCGTGAAGTCTGCGGTCGCGACCGTGATTTTTTGCATACGAGGCCAGACGCAGTGGTCGTTTGCCGCCATATGTAGGTTGTGCGACGAGTGGTCAGGTTTTTATATTCACGTATAATTTTAGACATGTGTTCAGAGCGCTAATGAAACCATTTTTCGGTGCGCTCAGAAACTGCAAGCTGACGGTTGAGTCAGACCAAGGTCTTCAAATATTAAATAATTTAGTTAATCTAATATATTTTCTTAAAATCTAAGGCACTGCAAGGAACCAACCTGCGTGGGTGGTTACCTCCAATACTGACCGAACCTATGATTTATTTTTATCACATTACAGGATGGTTCACACGGCGTTAGTTCACACAGCCCGTTTTCTTAAGGCTCGTTCACACAGACCCGTTTTCTTACGTTACGTTACGATAAGTCACCGGGAAATCTGTCCTTCGTATTAAGCGTATCTACCCATTCAAGGAGATAGCCTGGCACGCGACATTCGAGACACGAATGTTTCGGTGACGACGAGCTAGGACGGTCAGTTACCGTGACAACCAAGGACACAAGGCTCGTCGTAACGTAACGTAAGGAGTTGAGCACGGTTCAACTTTTCATAGAGCACCGTTTTCTTACGTTACGTCGAAGTCACCGAAACATCCGCGTCTCGAATGTCGTGTGCCAGGCTATCTCCTTGAATTGGTGGCCACGCTTAATACGAAGCACATATTTCCTGGTAACGTTTTGTAACGTAACGCAAGAAAACGAGTCTCTGTGATTGAGCCTTTAAAGTCCTGTTGACGCTTCTGGCAAACTGTTTGCTGAACTTCGTTTAGTGCATTTTGTTTCCGCTGCCAGCTTTTGACGTTTTCTACGCTCGTAAAGGTGTATCCACACGACGGACCGGGCCGCGGACCGATTGATCACGTGATGCGCGGCCCGCGGGCCGCCCGGCTGCAATGAGCATCTACACGGCGGACCAAAAAAGCAGACGACAGAGCGAACGGGCCGGTCTAACCCTCGACCTCACAGCTCAGCCAAACGCATGCAGCGAGCTGCTTTGAGGCTATTTGTAAGGAGCCAAGATGGAGGTTGAACGAAAAAGTCGTTTGGCCGCGGTGGCCCTGGCGTTCAATATTGAGGACGAGGACGACTTAAGTGAACCGAAAAAGGCATGGGGACATCTTTAGATATTTATTTGAGTAGTCGTCGCGACTATTGTCCCACGGAGCGGGGAATCGCTCCATGAGCGCGATGAAGTAAAAAGTTGCATCATCGCACAACAAAAGGTTCGTCTTCTTCGTCTTCAACAGTTGGCGCCAAAAGAAAACGACTTTGGATTTGGATTCTAATCCAAACAACAAAAGTCAGCTTGTTGCCAGACTTAGCGTTTTAATTATACTAAAAACGCCGCGGTCCGCCACCAAGGTCCGGGCGAGAAAAGTCGATTGGCATTTCTCAGAAGCGCGGGCCGCGGACCGCCGGCGGACCTCGAAAACCGGTGACGTAATATCACGTGATGCGCGGCCCGCGGACCAAAGCAGCAATATGGTCCGTCGTGTGGATACACCTTTAAGGTGTATCCACACGACGGACCGGGCCTCGGACCGATTGATCACGTGATGCGCGGCCCGCGGGCCGCCCGGCTGCAATGAGGATCCACACGGCGGACCAAAAGAGCAGACGACAGGGTGAACGGGCCGGTATAACCTTCGACCTCACAGCTCCGCCAAATGTATGCAGCCAGCTGCTTTGAGGCTATTTGTAAGGAGCCAAGATGGAGATTGAAGGAAAGAAGCGTTCTGCCGCGGTGGCCCTGGCGTTGACTATTGAGGACAAGGAGGACTTAATTGAACCTAAAAAGGCATGGGGACATCTTTAGATGATTACTTGAGTACTCGTCGTGACTATTGTCCCTCAGAGTGGGGAATCGCTCTATGAGCGCGATGAAGTGAAAAGTTGCATCGTCGCACAACAAAAGGTTCGTCTTCTTCGTCTTCAACAGTTGGGGCCAAAAGAAAACGAATTTGGATTTGGATTCCAATCCAAACAACAAAAGTCAGCTTGTTGCCAGACTTAGGGCTTCAATTATACTAAAAACGCCGCGGTCCGCCGCCAAGGTCCGGGCGAGAAAAGTCGCTTGTCATTTCTCAGAAGCGCGGGCCGCGGACCACCGGCGGACCTCGAAAACCGGTGACGTTAGATCACGTGACGCGCGGCCCGCGGACCAAAAGAGCAATTTGGTCCGTCGTGTGGATACACCTTTAAGAGGACTGTTTCCAAAGCTTCGTGCTTTCACTATACTTTATGATGTTGATCTAACGAGCCAGTTTCGATACGCCATCGCTGCCGGCACGCACCGTGGGAACTGCAGTCTTTGTGCGCGCGTGACAGCCCCGCTGCAGGTCTGTGCGAGCCGAGCACGCGACGGCACAAGCCTTCTCGTGCACTGGCGTGACTGCCTCCCGTGGTCTACAGCTATGGAGGCGTCACGCATACGCGGATCGCTTAGTCAAAGTTTGCTCTTAGTAAGATCGTTGCCGACTATTAGGGGCGAGATGTTTCGGTGGCGCCCTCGTTCGGTTGCCTTTCGTGACGTCATTACCTCGAGAACAAAAAGTTCGGTGGTGTTTGTAATGGGCATGGTGGAAGCCTGAAATCATAGCGCTCTCAAAGAAACACTGCCAACACCGTCCAAATTGAAGTTTTTACATGCCTCTTATTTTTGTCGATGAGACATCCTTTGCTGACCCCCGAGTCAGCATTCGGCCAATTGTGGTGGGCCGACCACAACGACGCTTTCGATCGCTCATGTTGCCAACACTCCGTTTCACCTTATGTTGTACCGCAGAGAAGGCTAGAAGCGCGAGCTCATAGCGTTGAGAGCTGCTCTTTACGTACGAGAGCTTGTGCTGCCGAAATGTGCCCTAGGGCAAGGAGCTCGCGCTTGTAGCATGCGGTACATCATAAGGTGAAACAGCGCATACTATTAGCGATGTGCGCGACCAAAAGCGTCGCTGCGGTCAATTTTCCACGATTGGCCAAACAATGGGCATATAAGCATTGTTGGATTGTCAACTTTGACGGTGTTAGTTTCGGATTGCGACGGCTCCTAGCTTCCACTGTGCTTTTTAAACACACCACCAAGCTCGTCGTCGCACCTTATGGTAAGTAGCCAGGATAACAACTGGTGACGTCACGGCGAGGCAAATCCCAGTCGTGGCGTCACGGATGGAAAACATAAAAGGGCGCCACCGAAACATCTCAGCGCTAATAGTACTCATCTAAGAAATATCTTGCACGTACCTGTGGTGCGAGCTTCTTAACCCCGTTCAGGGGCATCTTGTTATACAGCTTGCTCATGTTGCGCCTCTCTTCGCGTGGCAACGAATACTGCAAAAAGAAAAGTGTCATTAAACTATATGGTGCCCTAAATAACCAGGCTCGATCTAAAATGGGCTGTAAAAATCGACAACTGCACGTACCATTCTATAGGTTACTTCAAAGGTGTATTTCACTAGTCGGTTTTATTGTGTAAAATTACAAAGCGTATCTCCCTCTATATAAACAGATAAGGCAAAAAAACATGCCAGGGTCAATGGCGGATGGCGACGCAGACGATCGAGTCGTGTGGCGGGGCGTGTTTGGCGCACGTATTGATTGATAGCTCTACCTCCTTATCAAGACTGCTCGCAACGACCGTGGTCTAATAAAAAGAACGCTACATTTTTTAAATGCACTTTTGCTTTAATAATAAATGCGAACAATAAAAAAAAAAAAACTTAAAGTACAAAAAAAAAACAAAAAACGCGGTTGCATAGCGACGGCGTTCTCGCTGCCGAGGGATTTCGTCTGCGTGTCGTCTGCTCTCTTTTGCCTGTCTGCTACACCTCCTGACGCTGCTCTCGACGCCATCTATCAATACGTACTCAAAACACGCCCCGTCACTTGATTCGGTTGTCGGCGTCCGCCATAGACCCTGGCAAGCTTTTGGCCGAATATTTGGACAGAAAGATAGCCACCCTTTGTAATTTTACAAGGTAAAAGCCACCAGTGAAACACACCTTTGACGAAAAGTTTAGATTGCTAGAGGCAGCGCACCGACTTTCACGACAAATTTTAGAACAAGCCTGCTTATTTCAGACACGCTATATGTCACTGACAGAAACGAAGGGCGTTGCGAGTTCCGAGTGTATCATTATTGCTCATGAGCCAAGGAACTTTTGCCACCTGCCAATAAGAACGTCGAAAAACAAATCACGAAGCAAATAGTGTGAACATAAGTTAGGACGTTTCTTAAGGTGTCGGTGACTATAGTTTGCTTCACTTTATGTGCCAGCGAAGCCGACGCTACAATCATGAGTACGCTGCCCTAAACGATGCTTGCACTGCAGGAGCGCATATGGTCAGCAGGGACTATAGAAAGCCCGTAGCTCGATCGCGCTTGTAAACTCTGCTTCGCTCACACTTCAAGTGAAACGGAGCACAGAGGCAGAGGCATCCATCACTTTTCCGTGCAGCTTTCTACAGATAAGGCCAGGAACTAATATACCACTTGCGTGTTTTAGGCATCAATACCCTAACGTCATTTTAGTCGGCTTATAGCCAGTGAGGAGAACGAGCCAACGCCTCCCAGGTAAAGAGGCCACAGAGCTGGATCTGTGTAGTCACCTATCAGAGGCCAGTGAGGGGCACGGAATGGACACGAGTGCTGCGTCAGCGTTCGCTTGTGATTCATGTTCAATTAATCAGGAAACTAGTGCCAGCCGAACACTGACGCAGCACTCGTATACAGTCGGTGCCCCGGGCTGATGTCACGCATCCAGTAATATGGCCTTGTTATCTGCGAGGTGTTGCTTCAACTGCCATACCCTCTCAATGCATCAAAACGAATCAACGGTTTTTGCCACTCATCATACGCATATCATTGGTTTAACGTAGAATGTTTTTTTATCAAGCGATTTTCATGGAGTTATGTAACGTCTAAGTGTAACAGCCAGCTGTAACAAAAAACCGACTCCGAAAAGCGTTACACCCATAGGAAACTGCTTAAAATTATTCTGGCAGGATCCGTACTCCCCACCTGGAGATTGCGAGCCAGGTGCCTTGCCGACTGAGTTACCGAGTTACCCAGGGTCGGTGGCATATAGCACCTAAAAGGGACTCAATGGCACGAGGCCAGGCCTCTCCTGTCAAGCTGCATTCCTCACGGTGTCTGTCCGATATGCGAGCGAATCTTCTCTAGGCGGTGCCGTTCAGACGCCCTTTTACTCTTCCCTGAAAAGCCTGTCGCACATTCACTCTGGTCTGTGTCAACGCGATCAACCTTGTTTATTTTTCTTGGTTCTGACGGCCACCATGTTAAATATCGATCTAGCTGGGTTGGTGAAAAGTAGCAAATTATTTCATTTGCCAATTGGATGGCGCCAGAATTTAAAGGATCCGTGCCGCTACTATTCTTTCCCCGGCTATACTTTATTTCTTATAGTTATGCCTAAATGTTACGAGCATTTTAAAAGAAGCACTTGTAAACGGCGCGCACTTTTGAAAAGGGTCTTAGAGATCCTCTGTTAGACACTTTTCAAAAGTGCGCGCCGTTTATAAGTTGCCGCACCAGTTATTTGAGTCCGTGATTGCTTGCTTGGGCACGTACTCTTAGCGTGTATCGGACACAAGGGCTGTGTGAGCGTTTGGCGAAGACTCGGCTTCAAACACACAATTCGCGGCCAAGAAATGGCGGCCACCAATGTTACTGAATTTTTTATTCACTGTCGCCCAGCCCAACTACGTCATACTTCAACGTGGGAACCGTCACACGGCAATGGTCTACACACTGACGGGCACGGACCAATGCCGCCTAGAAAACACAAGGCCTGCACATGACGTCACCGGTAGTGATTCCCGCGCCAGGCGGCAACACGCTGCGGAGCTAAACAAGAGTCCCCGCAAAGTGGCTAACCCGCGCGTATTGGCGTCGCCCCGTCATATAGCGTCGCGCTCGTTGTCAGACGTTGCAGGACCCGCTGGTGGTGACGCTGAAGCGTACTAAACGGCCTTGCGTGGACCTGCTAGTGACGCCGTATGAGGGGGAAGGGCTCAATTTTTTGTTTTCTAGGTGGTTTCGCATGGACGCAGCATTGCTCACATTCGCCAGCGCGATCTCGAACTGGAGCGCGTCCCAGAGCTCGGTCTGTGCCGCCTTCTTGTCGGCTCCCAGCAGGTGAGCGGCCTCCGTCATGAGCTTCATGTACGCGGCCACGACGCTGTCGTTCAGCCCCTTGAGGAAGTAGGTGCGGTCAGGGAGTCCCAGGGACGCTTGGTCCAGCTGCAAGAAGAGGAACTCACTTTAACTTTCTGTTCCCTTTTTATCTTGCACTCTTTAGATGAGTCCCGTGCGTATATTTTCCCCCCGCAGAAGTCGCGGACAACCAATACATGCGATCAACGGAGGAAGCCGACAGAACTAAAAGTCGAAAAAACCGCCATGCCCCTAAAACATGCCACTACCCTCCTGGCACTCCTCGCAATTTAGAACTGGTTCACACAATGGTTTTTGATTAGGATCAGCCGTGGTGCAACTAAATGTAACACCTTGGGACGGCAAAGCACCCTGGCGAATTGGCACCGTCGCTCAGCCCCAGGTAGCTCCGGAAGAATTCCGATCCGCGTAGAACTAGAATGAAGCTTTTGCGGGACGAATATACGCATTCTCTCTGGGAAATTGTCGCTTATAACGTTGTTAGAATCATTTCAGCACACAGTGAAAGAATGACGCGAAAAATATACGTTGAACGGAAGGTAGGGTGTCAGGGCTATGCGATGTGTCCTCTCGTCATAAGCGTATACGAGCGAGTCCAAGCCCAGTCGGTCACGCTCAAACGCATATCTGAGAAGCAGGTCTCAGACGGCATTCTATCAATGTTCCTGAGCAAACCGAATTTCAAATTTTTCAATCAAGGTTTCCATTACCTTCGTCATTATCTTTTTTTCATCTGTTGAAAAAAAAGAGAGAAACAAAGCGACCGGATATCGCCGCCTTCTGCGATTGGCCAATCGCAGAAGGCGGCGGCTGCTGACCAATCGCAGCAGATGGCGATGTCCCGGTCTCTCGATCCCGCTGTGAAGATTAGGGCCCTCGAAAGTCGCCCTTGGGCTCCTAGTTACCTATCATGCAGACTCCGATGGTATGACGAAGACAACAGAACCATTGACAGAGGCATTCAACCAAACAGGATTACACGTATTCAACGTAGGTTTTGGATACTTACGCTTACTACACACTGCTTAACGCGCTTCACGCAACTCGCAACACTGATACCATTTACATATCAGCGGTGGTATTCTTCAATAAATATTTCGCGAGTCTGTTCGCAATATATGGGGTGTTTGATTTGAATTCGAACATATTTATTTTAAGATATCCGTGAAAGGCACACTAATGCGGCTAGTGCAGGTGAGTTGAACGGCCAGAAGGATATAATATTCCTCGCGCTGCATCAAATATTTAACTAAAAATACCGGAACTCTAGGAGAGCCTAGAGTTCCTGTATTGCGCGTTCGTCTCTGTAGCCCCGTCTTTCCTGCACAGCATGTTGATCCTGCTCCTCACGTGACGGGATTCGGCGAATAGCGGCGCCGCGCGTTCGAGGCGCGGGTCGCGCTCAAAAGCAGAGGTAGTACGGCGGGGCGGGTGCAAAGTCTATACTTTGTTTCACCTTATGTTGTACCGCAAAAAAGGCTAGAAGCGCAAGCTCATAGCGTTGGGAGCTGCTGTTAACGCACGAGAGCTTATGCCACCGAGATGTGCCCTAGAACAAGGAGCTCGCGCTTGTAGCCTTTCCTGCGCTACATCATAAGGTGAAACAGAGTATACTTTCCTGCACAGCACTTGATCCGGCTCCTCACGTGATCGAATTTCGGCGAACAGCGGCGCGGCGGCACGTGGAAAACAGACGCGCAACTCTGGCTCCCGTAGGGAGCCTATAGACGCTTTGCAGCAGCTGTGGATGGGCGCCGCCATAACTGACCTTCAGTTTTTGTTTCCCCTTATTACGTTTACTTCACTTCATTATTACCATAGCAGGCTAGAACATTGCCATCCTAGATTTTTTTCCTGTCTTTCTCCCCAGCATTGGTCTTCGTGGAGGCTCGTCCACACCAATTTCAGTGGCTCGGTATCTCGGTAAAACAAGAGAAGGTCAGCAATGGCGGCTGTATTATGGCACGTATGTAAAGCGTCTATACAGGAACTTTAGGATGGATGGATGGATGGATGGATGGATGAATACGGCTGAGCCCTTTGGATCGGGCGGTAGCTTACGCCACCTAGAAATTTTGTTTTACCATTTAAGCTTAAAATATTTAAATGTGAAATCTATATTCACTCCGCAGTGCAAAGAAAATGAGGCTATGAAACCCCCTTGCCATCAGTGAATAAGAAAATACCTAGTTTTCTCTCGATTTCTGCCACCATTCACTTAATCTTTGCTTGGTAATCTCTACAGTCTCGAAATCCACTCTCCCTTCGCTGTCTCTAAAACCCAATGACTTTATTAAATCTATGTTGTGATTTCTTTCTCGCCCCAGCGCCATCTGTCGGAAATCGGGGGTACCCGCAAGCAGACGAGTACGCAATCCGGTCACGGCGCTACGGTAGGCTTCTATGGGCCCTTTACCCACCTGTCTATCTTACACCCTGGGCACGAGGGAGAAATCCGGTGTATTTCTCCTTGGCGCGCGCATCACGCGACAAAAACGTGAGGCTTTTGCGCGCATCCCGCCACAAAAACGTCAGGCTATTGCCCACCACAAAAACGTGAGGCTTTTGCGGTGGGCAATAGCCTGACGTTTTTGTGGCGGGATGCGCGCGCTGAGGAGAAATCTCCGGGATTCCTCCCTTGAGTGAATCTCCCCCCCCCCCCCCCCCCCCCTTACTTTCTTCTATGGCCTTACTACACCGTGACCAAAAGCACCACCGCCACGAGCAAGCAAGGTCCCTGCAGGTTTCCCGTATAAAGCAATCGCTTTTCAAAACTGTTCCCTGAAACGTCGTTTGCTTACGAAGATGATGTATCGCGTGTTGTTCCGGAAATCCGGGATGACAAACAGGTCGAGCAGGATGTCGTGGCTGTAGCCAAAGTGCCGAAACTGTATGAGCGCGTCCAGCCAGTGGAACTTGGACGCGTTCCATCCGGGTCCCTCGACCACGGGCCAGCCTCCGAGCGACCTGAGGACCCTCTGCAGAGGCTCCTCGGCGTACGAGTCGATGAGGCTGGTGTTGAGGCAGGACCGGTACATGTGCTTCATCTTGTGGATGAAGCCTGGTTCCCAGTCCTGTGGCGGCTTCTCGACCAGCGAGCGCAGCTGGGCTTTCAGCTGGTCCCAGATAAGGGAGAACTGGGACACCAAAGGCCTGTCCTCCGGAATCGGGTGCCGGTGCACCCAGCCGCCGCACGCGAAGTCGTAGAAGTTCTCGCAGGGGTCCACGCTCTGGTTCATGTTCTGGAGCAGGGTGGACGCTGAGCAGAAGGAAGCAAGCAGCTTCGGTCAGGCTGCCGGTGTCTGCTCTCCAGTACCAACATAACGGCGCCGCGTCGCTTCCCAAATGACCGTTCGACCGGTTGATGACGAAGGACATCTACAAAATACTGAATGAACTTAAAGATGAACTTCGCCAGGAATGGAACGCTTTTAGGCAGACACTGGAATGACATATTAGAAGTGACAGACGTGACTTGCGGAATAATGTTGAAGAGGCAAAGGATAGTATGGATTTTACGAACCGCGAGTTTGAGGACATGATGACAAAGTTTGAGACACTACTTTAAAAAAAAAAACGCTCTGTTAGAGAAAGAGAACAGAAATCTCTCGCAAACGTGCGATGACCTAGAAACGTGCTTGAGAAACTGCCAGGATTGACTTATGCGGACACTGAGCAGTACTCGAGGACCACCAATCTGGGAATCAAAAGAATCCTTAAGCATGATGCCGAAGTACTTTGAGATGTGGTTCGAAAACTGGAAGAACCAATTGGCAAACCAATTACTCGAGCGGATATTGACATCTGTCATCGTGTACCGACGTGGGACACTGAGACAACAAACATAATCCTACAGCTTCTAGAGCGCAGCAAGCGCGACGCTATTCTTCAAAAAGCAAAAAAGAAGCGCCTTACAAAACTCGGATGTAGGCATCGACATAAATATGCGGCTATTTGGGAACGAGCATCTTTGTCCGTCATTAAAACGTATTCTTAGCAAAACGATTGCTAAGAAGCGGCGGCAGTCGACCTGAAAACATGTCTGGGTGAGAAATGGAAAAATATTTGGTCGTCAAGCCGATGGTTTCCCACTCGTCCAATCAAAAATGATGGTGACATTGAGAAGATTTGTTAACTTATCTACTCGGTATCTTTGTGTTTCTTTTTGCAATGGGATACTGGGAGCTAATTTAGCCTGTGGACCTTGGTCACTCCTTGTCATCGAAAGATAACTCTAATCTACCACGATTACCTAAATGCCCGTTCCGTAACAAATAAACATGACAGTAGGGCGTTTTCAGATATGATCGAACAACCATGTCCGGTGACCATTTTTAATTTTGATGAAAAAAAAATTAATTTTTCTGGCTTTATACCCAGACAAATAAAACCAATCATTGATTAAAAAAAAAATGTCTTTCTGCAAAAAAATTTTAAGCATCCTCTCAGTCATGTTCGCGCTTTGCGTATCGTGCGATTTTGACATTTCGGACGGCTGCCCCCAAAAACTGTTCTGATTACGGGTCTAGAAATATGCACTGACAAAAGGAAGGATTGTCAAAAAGTACAGGGTGTCACAGAAGAAAATTTACACGGTCTTTTTTACCGCAAAAATAAACTAGGCATCGCCGAACGCTCATTCTCCGCCCAAAGATATAGCTAAAGGTCACAACCAGATGCCAAAGTTTCAGCCCGATCCGATAACTTAATCAAAAGTTATAAGTGATTTTCTGAAAATTTTAATGGGAAAATGGCGGCCGATGGAGTTTTTGAACACATGAGGCTATATGGCGCCAGAAACCGAAAACGGGTAAAAATGTGATCCATTTTCCTATTGAAATTTTTAGAAAATCACTTATAACTTTTGATTAAGTTATCGGATCGGGCTGAAACTTTGGCATCTGGTGTTGACCTCTAGCTCTATATTTGGGCGGAGATTGAGCGTTCGGCGAGGCTAGTTTATTTTTGCGGTAAAAAAAGACCGTGTAAATTTTGTTTTCTGACACCCTGTATTAATCACCGAGGACTAGGGTAGTCAACTTGACGAAAAAAACAAAAAAAGAAATCGCAGACGGCAAATTGCGCAATAACGCTCTAGATTAAGGAATATTTTTCTTTGTATCTATTGAAGCTAAGGTCTTCAAACGTTGCCAGTATGTTGCACTATACACCATAGTTCACCTTTGCGTGAAATATTGTTGTCCTGGTTAGCGGGAGAAATTTACAAGAATTGCTCACACACAGGTATTTCCATAAAAATTCAGTATTTTGAAAATCGTTTAAAAAAAGACCATCTTTAATATTTTTTAAACTCTCTGAAATTAACGTTCATAATATGTACTAGAAGAGCCTGCAAAAACATAATGCAATATTTGTGTGGCTTCCAAGTTATAAAGCGCGAGATATATGGCCACATTGACGCTAACGCGGTTGCCATAAATGGGGTGCACCAAGCACGTAGCGGGCCCGGTCCACCCCCCCCCCCCCCCCGCCCCTCCCCCGAAACAAAACCCTGGCTACGTGCCTGGCGTGCACATACACATTGTTCACAATGGCATTATTATTAAAAAAGCGTAAAAATGCTACGGAGTGGTCAGGAAAAGACACATAGACACCACAGAGGTGGACGGTAGTTTTGAAGAGAAAATTTATAATACATTGTCGTTCAACCGACACAAAAATGCCCATGGGCCGAAGCGATCGATGTGCACCCGCTGTAACATGCTTCGTGGTGCCTGTTTTAACAGCCGGCGTATAGCGTTGCCGTATACGCGACATAAAAGAAGCAACCGGAGCGACTTTGGAAACAGATCAGCCTACAACCTTGGCGGTAACATGAGATAGGAAGTAGGGCACGGCAGGACCTGAAACTGCGCCGCCTGTGAGCGCCAATAGATCCGCCGCTGTGGAGGGCCGCACAATTGTAGAAAATAAAAGATACTTTTAAAAAAAATCCGATTGCCTGAGATTGTTTGTATTGGGTGTTTTCAGATAGGATCGAACGACCATGTCCGGATGACATTTTTTATTTTTACCTAAAGATATATTTCACTTGTGGAACTGCAAAAACATATTCAAACTGTTTTTTTGCGGAAAATAAAATTTCTTTTGAGGAAAAACAATCACATAGTCGCTGTCGGTATACGCGCTCGTTTTTTAGACTTGCGTGAAACCACTTTTTGGATATTTATAAAAGAAAAACTGTTGTCGTCTTAGGTTTAATTTTTTTTTTGTGCAGAGACTCTACATAAAATGAGAGGAGGCAAGCGTGCATTGTCGATTACGGATCAATTCAGAGCTTTATGAATCCGGATCTTAAAGAGACTGGAAATTCAATTTTTTTAGAATGGTTTAAACTCGTCTGTTTTATATTCGCATAAATTTTCTGAAATGTAGAAAGGTTAACGATTTTGCAATAATTCGAAAATAAGTTTAAAATGAAGGCCATCGCAATTTTTTTTCTTCTTTTCACAGATCGAGGCTCATAATCTGTCCTAACAGGCCCTTCAGAAATGGCCTGCAATATTTTGCTTTTTTAATTTTACAGGTTTCTAAATATACAAAATTCCCGAAATGGGAGTAGAGAAAGATAGGAAGTTGCCGATTTCAAACAAGGGCAAGCAAAGGGTTGGAAGATGTAGAAAGTCTGTGAAGAGAAAGCATTGTGACAGGAGTTCGTGAAAAATAATAATTCATGCAAACGATTACAGGTGAGTTTCAAGCACAAGTCAACAATTTAAATACAGATTTCTCGGATCAGTGAATGTCGCAGCCTACCCTTCGTGGGGAGGCTTGGCTGCTGACGACCAAATTTAAATAGTGATAAGAAATAACACATGTTTAAAGTGGAACAATTGAAACTAGTTTGATTAGTCAAGATCTTGTGCGCACATTGGGAGCTTGTCGCGTAAATTCTTTCTGCCGGACGCTGACTTGAGTCGCTCACGGCCCTCTCTTGGCACTCCGAGGAGGAACAGTTTTTTTCCCGTTTTGCTTGTAGCGATCACTGTTCGTTTCTTTTCAGTGGCGCCGCAAGCTCGCGACCTCGATATGCTTTTCGAAGCCATAGGACACTACTTCTAAAGATATATATCTTTTATCCGTGTATACTGTTCTTGCTAAAACAGCCGCGGCTGCGAAGTGTCGGACCGCGTACGCTGCCACGAGTGACAGGACTGAATTCCACGCATAACGGAAACAGAGTCTAAGTCCTTTGCTTTCATGTCCTTGAACGCTTTGACGTCAGCTTTAGGGAAGTAGTGTAGTTTCGCGTTCGGCAGTTTAGTGTTCAGTGGGGCAGCCATCTCTGACGCCGACTCGATCAGCGATTTGGTGGGCCGTCAGAGGCTGTACAACGTTGCCTGGTGCTTGACACGACCCCCGACTCAATCACGGGCACTCTTGCCATGTCAAGTTGCGGAAAAAATACACCTCGCTGACGTATACTTGTGGCTCTGCAGTTCGTGTAGTTGGTACTTGTTCTTAAAGTGGCTTGCCGTACTATCACTTACCTACGTCACATGAGCATACCCAAATTGGATTTCACGATTTTCCAAACCATTGTCTTATAAATTAATTTACAGACAATCTCAATCAACGCAATTTTTTTCAATGTTCTTTTATTTTCTGCGCGTTGTGCGGCCCTCCACGGCGGCGGACCTATTGGCGCTGACAGGCGGCGCAGGTTCAGGTTCTGCCGCGCCCTACCTCCTACATAATGTTGCCGCCAAGGTTGTACGCTGATCTGTTTGTGAAGTCGATCCGGTTGCTTCCTTTACGTCGCGTAGACGGAGACGCTCCACGCCGGCTGTTGAAACAGGCACCGCGAAGCGTGTTACAGGGTGGCGCACCTCGATCGCTCCGGCCCATGGGCACTTTTAGGTCGGTTGTACGAAAATGTATTAGGAATTTTCCCTTCAAAACTACCGTACACCTCTGTGCTGTCAATTGGTCTTTTCTTGGCCACCCCGTCTCATTTTTACGCTTTTTAATAACAATAAAATTGCGAAGAACGGGTATATGCACGCACCATTTATGGCAACCCCGTTGGCATCAATTTGCCCATATTTCTCGCTTTATAACACTATGTATGTGTAAATATTGCTTTTATTATAAAATTTAAAGAATAAATAAAATAGAAAGAGGGATGCAAGACGCATTGTTAGTCACCCATGGAGGGGTCTGGTTCGTCGTCTTGCGGGGATCGGGAGAAAAAGAGGGTAGGGTAGGAGGTGATAATGGGGATGGGCGTATTTACAG